TCATCTCTTTCTTCGATGTGTATTACATTATATACCTCTCATAGATTTATTTTTATATAGATCTTAATTTAATTCAATTGATCAAGAAGTCCAAATATAAAAAGTAGAAGATTCCTATTTTTAATGGTAATTTTGTTGAGTTTTTGATAATCAGTGTACATCCGCAATGTTCGATTTGTTTTTTTCACAAATAAAATTGGAGCTTCTACTGGAAATTTGGAGTAGTGTATAAAGTTTTTGACTAGATTTTCATCAATATTCTCCTTAAATTCAATCAATTCATTTTGTGATAAACTATTAATTGGTCTAAACAATGGTTGAGTTTCTTCTTAAAGGTAAATTGAGTAGTCATATAAATAATGTTTTCATAGAGTATCCACATTCTTTTTCTCAAATACATCTTGAAAATCTTAATACTGGCTTGGAATACCACTTAAAGTCTTTCCACTATTAGAAACAAGTGCGACATAAATAACACAAGGTAATCCTTCTTTTGTAATATGTAAGAAGATTCTTGTACTTACAAATATAAGTTTAATTACACTAGACTTATGACTTTTTACTTAATCAATTATATTCTTAGTTATACTTTCAAAAAAGTCAAGACTATAAGAAATCCAATCTATTTTTGAATTATATTTTTTTAGCCATAATAAATCTAAAATGACTAGATTAAAAGGAGATCTAATAATATTAAATATTATAAAATTACTATGACTATTAATTATTAGTTCTATAGAAAAGATTTTATGAATAATATTTCTTGAAGACAATGGACTACCATCTATGACTTCTACATGAACAAATTTAATTTTCTTCACTAAAGGTATACTATGTATTTTAACAAATTCTTCATCTAACAAACACAATGAGGCTCCTAAATCTAATAAGATAGAGGCTTTGTGATGTTTAGGTTCTAAAATAATATTTTTTGTAAAATAAGGGTAGGGTTCTAAATAATATACACAAGTACACTTGTGTAACTTTCAGATCAAAATTCAAAAATTATTTGTCATACTTCACAGCAAAGTTAATTGTATGACTCAATATTTGAGAATCAAATAAGTTGAGCATTAATTTTTTTATCTCATATTATAATTTTTAGAAAAATTAGATAACAAATGCAACATCATTGCACTTGATATCATTTACAAGTTATTGAAACTATGAAGCATATAACATTATTGATTGATTATCTTATTATAAAATATAGATTTTATTGATTATAATATAAATTATATCATATTTTTTATTTATAGATCAAAATTTTGCTAAAAAAGCCTTCAAATTATCCAATATTAAATCTTATTGTTGAAGAAAAGATGAAAATTATAATAATGTTAAACTTGAAAGGAGTATATCAATGAATCTAACTTGTGATCTTGGAGTTGAATAGTTTTGGAATTGAAGTTCAATCAAAAATTTTACTTGATTGATAAATCTTCAAAACTTGGATCTTATGTCAATAAAACTTCTTGAGCAGTACAACCTTTGATTTTCTAACATTAGAAGGATATTCCATCATAGGAAAAAGGATGTGATTTGATGTAGTTGTTGAAGCACCTTCAATCATATCTATATCTTTGCTCCTTCCCATTTTTTTTACTTCCTATAGTGGTAAATTGAGTGGATGTATTGCAAATATTAATTTCCTCAATTATTCTTGCATTTGTGCCATTTCATTCTTCATTTTAAAAAGCTTTGCCATAATGACACTTAAAAAAAGAAAGATATCTAATATCACTTAAAACAAATAAAAGAGAAGACTTTAAAACAAAGAATAAATATTAAAGACAATATCAATTTAAAACATGATAATCTGTAACTTCTAATATGCTTAAGTCTTATCAAGAGAAAGAGATAATCTACTCTTAATCAAGAAAAGACAAATCTTTGATATTGTAAGTGTATTCTTGTCAATTTTTCAATGATAAGAACTCAATAAAAGCAAATAAAGAAATAAGACTCACTCAAAGAAATATAACAAAGTAGAAATAGAAAAATATGTATTTTAAAAAAGAAATTGAAATGGTTATTGCAAAAAGACAAGGACATTAGACTCTTGAAACTATACTAGAAATAAGAAATTAGTTGATAAGAATGAAGGAGGCTTCATTTTTGCCTCTATATATATTCTCTATTTAGGATCTATGTGATAATGTTCTATAGGACCTCCAAAAATGTATTGACTTTACATGATACATATCTTAACTTATAAGGCAAGTCTTTTATATGGACACCATATAATTAGCTTATTCAAGAAGCTATCAACATGTTTGGCACATGGTTAGCTTGTTGATTAAGTTTTTAATCTACCAATCAATTACAAACACATGTAAAGTCAAAACAACATCTAGAAAGCTTTTAAGAAGCTTTTCTAGAAGATATTATGAAATTAATTGATTTTTATCTACTTCTACCTATTCATATTATATAAGGAAGAATTCCAATAGATATATATCCATGACATTGGATTCTAGTACCAAAATATCAATGGCGTACCATTGGAATTCATTAACAAGAGAGCATGTATGTTGGTTTTTATTCACTAAGCATTATTTGTATTGTTGATCTATCAACTATGACATTATTATATGCATGTTTTTTAAATTTTTGTTTTGAAGAGAATGTATTTCTATCTCTTTCAAAAAAAATATTTAATTAAAAAAATAGAATACTTGTGTTTGAAGTACCAAAAATGTTTTCAATGAATCTTGATCCTAAAATATCTTTGGCTAAAACTGAATTTGTCAAGATTTTGTATCTAAAATAGATTGGAAATGAAAAACTTGATGGCTTCAATGATATGCCTTCAATTATAAGAATTTTCATTAATGAGGCTAAAAATACACATGTTCAAATTACTATACTACTAACTAATATACTTCAAATTATAACATCAAAAATTAAAAAGACTTGTGGACCAAATAAGTAACCACATAAGAAAAAGGCTATAACATTTGTTGATTCTAGTATTATCTTTGTCGAAAGTATTTTAGTTATACTTATACCTATGACTTGATTACTTATTAAGCACTTAAAATCAAGAAAATTGAATCTATAAATAACCTTGTTAATTTCTTCACCAAAGTTCTCCCTTTATAATTATTATTGACTTACTTATAGCATTAGCAACAACTTACTTTTTTTGAGCAAGATAGTTAATAAATTCCTTAAATAATTAAAAAAAAAATGATGTTGTATTCTTTTTCCTTCATCTATGATTTTGTCCTTGAATACAATAAGGTTTTCTCAAATAAGGTTTTAATGAGGTAGTAGTTATTGATCTTGCAAGATTACAAAAATATATAGGTCATAATTCTATGCAAATTTTATGTTATATAAATATTATGATGAGTGAAGATAAGTACTAAGAGAATTAAATGTAGCATAATATTTATTATAATTTATAGTAAATATTGTAACTACAATGTTTGGAATGTAGTCAACAAAAACTGTTTATCTTCTCCCCTTCTCTTTGTATACAATAGACAGCCACATCAATACACAAAGAAATAGCCCTCTCTCCTTCTATACACTCTCTTGTATGTATGTACATTACTTCCAGCTACTCTTGTGTCTCTTCAAACATTCTCAACACTCCCTTGACAACATCTGCTTCCCTTGGCCTCTTACTCTGCTGCAACATCTCCTTGCACACATTCTCTCTTTTGTTCTCAAAGCCGTTTTCTTCATGAGTTTTCTCTCACTGTTTAATCACCAGATGTGTTGGTGGCAGAATGAGGAATTCCCAGAATCCAACATGCACCTTGGACTAACTTAAGTTTGTGATAATTTTCCCTCTTAAACTTTGATACAAGAAGAAATAAACACATAACCAGCACACGAATCAAGTAAGTCTCATTTTGACGTTTGTTCTGCGTGTACTAGAGAAGAGTTGATCTGTATCAAAACACGAGTTCATATGAAAACCCACAGAGGCTCAATTGCAGTATTCACGCACCTCAAGACTGCAGTACACTAAAACCCTCCGTGTTGCGAGAACTGCAAACACAGAGTGGCATGGGTACGCCAGGAACCGATCCAACTAGCGTCACCTGATCCACGTCCAAGTGGACTTGCGCACAGTTACGCATCTTCTCACGAATTTATGAGCTCTCCCGCGTCTCAATCGGGGGGGCGAGTCAACAAGCAACCACGACAAACCAGCAAAGCGAAATTCACGACCAGACTCGGTTGCAGCAGGCGGAAGAAACAACCGAATCTTGGCAGAGAAAGCCTGGAAATGCGACATGAATTCAGGAGGTTCACAACCCAAGTGGAAGAGTGCGAATTAGTGTTTGTAAGCACGGAAGGTGATCGAGAAATGGAAAAAAAATAAAAAAATAAAAAATCATCTACTACATACATGTTGCGAGCACGTACAAATTGCATCCCAGATTGCATGAGCCTGCAATGGTCGAATAGGAGGTTGCACTGGAGGACGCCTCGTTAGTTTTCGTTAGTTCACGAACACAGGACATTCACGCTCGCAATCTTCGCTGTACTATCACAGAAACTATTGAGTACTAAGATTTGGTTAAATTTTAACGATTAGTTTACAAAAGTATTGATAGTTGAAAATCGTTGTCAGTATGTAAACCTCGTCGTAGACAGAATGGAGCTCCACTTTTCGGAAGAAACTAATGACTGGAATTAACTCTGGCAGCTGACAAGTGGATCCCATGATGCATGCTGATAATTTGTGCTAATCTAATACGAAGTTGTCTATCACCTGACATAAGGGTACTACGACAACGCGATAAAGAAGTCCAACATTAGCAGCCTTCTACGCAAAACTGTAATAATTTAAGTAGTACATGATGCATTTGCAATTGTTGGTATACGGCATTTATGCAAGCCTTTGAATTGGAAAAAAACTATTTTTATTTTTTTACTATTGATAAAAACCATAAGCAAATATTTCATAATAAAAATAACTCACAAAACACAATAAATAAATAAATAAATAAATAAAACACAAAAAACACAAAAAACACAAAAAAAGATATAAAAGTTTGTACAGCTGGACTTTTTAGACAAAACCTAAAAGTTAGAGAAAAATTTAAATGATTTTCTTACTTTGTAGATGTCCAATTCTTTTTAAGAATCTTACAAACATCATATCTATTTCTTAGTCTTGTAAACCACATTTCTTATCATCATTTGACACAACTATCTTAAATTTTTGTATCATATCAAACATAGACATCTACATAATTATAAAGAAACTGAAATTTACAGAACTGACTTGTTCATTTAACATAAAATTTTAACTACCATAAAATCATGTACAATGAACCAAAAAAAATTAACTTCCAAAGTTTGACCACGATTTGTAGTATAGATGAGCACATGGGTGCACCTCTAACTCCGCCAGGTCCCGAGACATCCCTAACCCTAAACTTAGCTCATCCAGCTGGTTCTCGCTGGCCATTCCCCCACTTGAATCGGAGATTCCTAGCAACAATCCATGAATTAGGGTTTGTTTCGGTGCGCGAACATGCGGCAACAGGGACGGGGCTGTGCTTCGTGCCACTAATCCATGGCGAATGAGTGGAAGAGGTGCGCGTGCAATGTCTCGATTGGGCCGTTGGTGTCGAACGGGCCGAAACTGACAGCGGTATCACCTTTCGACGATCTCCTTGTCGTTCCTCCCGTTGCCGTTCCGAAACCTTTGCACAAAGCAGCGTCAGTTCTGTTTAATTCAACGAAAATTAATCGAAAATGCTCTGGTCATGCAACGAGCTCGGGTTGTGGCGCTCTGTGCGTATAATTCTCCCTATTTCATAAGTCATTGTCTAGACTGTGCAGTGTGGGTTTTTGCAACTTACTGAGTATTATTCATGGAGGTTACAATCCGCGTGGGCCACCGTAGCGTGGTCATTTGATGTCGATTTGATGCAGCAGGAGTTGCTAATCTCTCCGTGGAATGAAGTAGGCATGATTCGCGAGAAGATGGATGCGTTGCGAACAGGATCAAAACCATTGCACAGTTCCACTCAGTTTCCTGCAAGATTTGTTTCAATGAATTTTGGTCATTTTCTGCAGTAAGAGCGACGCGTCGTGCTTTTGAGATTCGGCTCATCGACTCACTCAGACAGCACAAGTTGTCAATAGTAGTGGCTCATATACGTCGAGAGAGTAATTAAGCCTCGTGGCAGTTACACTTTCTGAGCTGGTGACGTGTTTCGTCATTGGATTAAATTTGGAGAATCGAAAGCATAAAATTAGATTTTCACTAGATTGTGTCGTGTTGGATTTACCGAAGGAATATCCGGTAGAGCTTCATGTAGCCTGATGGCTGTCCGTTCCACGAAAATCACCAACGGGTTCGTCGACCTGAGACGACTCGTGTAATTCTGTGTATTCTCGGCAAATCGGTGGACCATAGCTTACGCTATTGCGTGAATGCCTTCGAAATTCTTAGTACATCGCAACTCATCCACAACGAAGCCTCCCCAATCCATGCAGCCGCCAGTGCTTTCCAACCCCATCCCACTCTGGTTTGAACCTCTTCAAAGCTGTGGAAGTGCAAATTATCTGCCATCATCACCCCCAGACCATGATCCACGAAACGGTCAATGACGCTTCTCACTATCGCGAGTTTTCTTCTCTTCTTTGGATGGGGATCATCGCGGACGCTTAACGTCTCTATAACCAAAATCGGGGATTCAAAATTTGTCGAGACTGCTGTTTGGTTTCTGGTGATTGGTGGTCCCCAATAATAGTTCACGAATTTTTTCCATTTTAGAAAAGGACAGGCGAGAAGTAGGTAGGGGTCCTTGCAAACTTTTGGAAACCCAGTGGACTGTTGCACTTTGCTCAAACGAAGCCAACCTCACGAGCTCCTGCGTGAGATGTGTTGTGCCTTTCACTGGCTCCACTTGTTTTTTCCGAGTTGTTTGGCACTGTCGTCCTTTCAAGGACAGAACCTCATTCAATCGCTGCCTCTGCTTGGACGGCCTCTTCCTGAGGCACGAATCGTGCTTCTCTTAGGTGCCTAATCTGTCGCGTCTTTCTTGATGAGTGTGCGGCTGGATACAACTGGGTCCTTCCTTCCTATTGATGCCTAACTGCTCTACAGGCGGTCCCGGGGTCAGTGACAATCTATCGTCTGCTGCGACAGTGACCGTCTTCTAACTTTTGTACTGGTCTGCTGAATGTAACCGCTTCTCCTTTCATGCTTGTACTGGAGCTGCATCAGCACGAGGGCTTCACCTTACGGGCATTGGTGGAGTAATGGAGTTAACTGCAATCCGGTTGCTTTCCGAGAATTAACCCCTGCAGTCCAAGTGCCTATCGATTGCTTCTCCAGCTAGAGGGTGCAGTGTGACGCCAAATTCTGTCAATTTTGTGGGTTCACATGCGGATTTCAGTGTCATCTGCCCGTTTTTTATGAGTTCAAGGCTGAGCATTACGTATATAGATATGGTGTTCGAGATCCACTCCTTTGTCTCTTCCGCCATCACCTAGTAATTCTGCGTAGAATTTGCACATGTCTTTCATTCAGTATGTACAAGCTGTGATGGGATTCAGGCCATTTCTCGGCCGCGAGAGCCTTCAATTGGGGAGATGATTGAATAACTGAGGATTGAAGTTGCAGCTAGTGAATGGAGTTGTGGAATTCGGAATATAGCGCCCGAGAGGATCAAATTATATTTAGTGGTGCAATGAAGTTATTACTCCCGGTGTTCTCTAATAATCTCTTTAGTAGTATTTGTATTGGACAGTAAATATTTGATCAGCACATGACGTTTTACTGCCCCTGTAGCGTCTCGTAGTGTATGACTCTTGCTTGCGAATCCCGTAACACTCCAGTATCCATCTACAGTCCCCATGTGACGTGCACGCCTCATCCATGATGAGTCTATCTGTATGTACCTCCACACCGTTCCTGCAGAGATTGACTGCGCGTGTTTGAAACCGGACCTCTGTTGACCCAATAGTCAGTAATATATCTTAATGAACGGCGCTCGAGCATGCATCGTGGAGTCTGAAAGATTGGATGGGTTTCTAATGTTCTCCCGTGGTGGGCTGTCGCAGTTCAAGTGTCTGAAGCTATTGCGCATGTTATCACTTGCGACCGAGACGAAAGCATCAGCGGATTGCGCAAGTTCCAGGTATTTTGTGCCAGTCGATGAGGTCGATGAGGATTCCCAGCCAAAATTGGCGCTGGATGCCAGCAGCTACAATTCTAGTATTTTTGTGGTGGCTTCTACCACATGCAGTCCGCGGGCAAGACTTGGGTACATGGGAGTTGCTAATGGAAAACGCAGGAATCGCTTCTATGCATACTGCCCTCACACGTTTTGGCACCTTGGTTATGCTTGACCGGACGAACATCGGCGCATCTCAAATCAATTTGCCAGGTTAGCGTAGATTGATTCCTACCAACCTGCGTTTAATCTCGCAAGTGAATTGCAACCAGCTAGCGGAAAAAAAAAACACACACACACACAGGGACAGGGTCACACCATGAATTGCTAGCGTAGCCGGTCCTATCGGCATGAGCGTGGCATCTGCATACAGTTCCTACTGGACTGAGCCGCACTCAAGTAGTCATTTGATTGGGTCATTGAGAGTGATACTAATCAATAATTGCTTACGGTTTGTTCGTTTTTCAATCTCTCGGATCAAGTGTACATGGCCGTCAGCTTTGTGATATAAATCTGATTGAGAATAGGTCTACTGACACTTACATTTGCACGGTTTCTTTTGCGTATCTTATCATGCCTAATCGTGATGCAACCACTTCACTGACATTGATCGTTATGGAGCCACCTATTTAATCGGTGATCGTGACACTCTGCTCCTTGACGGCACGAAGTTCCTGGTAGAAGCTCTACCGTTGTAAAGGTCGGAGATAGTAACTGGTTCAGAATGTGCATACCCTTCACACCGTCCTAGGTAGTTTGGTTACAAAGGTCGAGCATTAGTCTTCTTCTACTTTTATCTGATCATAGCGTGGACTTGCAGATGGTAAATGCAGAGCCAGCAATGACCTGGTTCTCCAGAGCGATTGCTCCGCTCATTCGGTGGTTTTCGATCCCGCTACCAAGACTGTCCGGCCCCTCTTCCTGATGACTGACCCATGGTGCTCGTCAGGGCAGTTCATGCCCGATGGAACGCTCATGCAAACAGGTGGAGACTTTGACGGATTAAGGAAAATCAGGTGTAAAACTGACGCCGTCTATTTCATTTCTGTCATGGTCAATTTCATTTAATTGAAGGGGATTAGAACTGCCTGTTGAACTGTATGTTGAACACTGGAACAGGACGTTCGTTCCTTGTGAGCCTTCTGGCACCTGCGACTGGGTAGAGTCGACAACACAAGAACTGCAATCAGGTCGTTGGTATTCAACAAATCAGCTCCTCCCGGACGGACGCCAGATAGTAATTGGCGGCCGATCTGCATTCAATTTAGAGTTCATCCCGCCAAACGCCAATGGGCCTCTGTACTTCCCCTTTCTCAACGCCACTAACGACGACCAGAACGACAACCTCTACCCTTACGTTCACCTTTTGCCCAACGGGAACCTCTACATCTTCGCAAACCGTGATTCAATAGAGTACGACTACTCAACCGACACAGTTGTGAGAACCTTTCCGCAGATTCCAGGAGAGCCACGGAACTATCCTTCGGCGGGTTCATCGGTGATTTTACCCCTATTGGCGACGAACAACTTCTCTGTTGTTGAGGTTCTAGTGTGCGGCGGTGCGCAGTATGGCGCATACTTGAATTCTATTTCACAGATGCCGTGCTCAAGCACTTGCGGGAGAATTGTCGTTTCTGACCCCAATCCTACGTGGGTCATGGACAACATGCCGTTTCCAAGGTGCATGGGGGATATGATTCTTCTGCCAACACGCGATGTTTTGATCATCAATGGCGCACAACAAGGTAGTTAGCAAAGACCTATGTTTTGCACCATGGTTCATACAATTCCACCACAGCTTGGCAGTGAGGACTGCAAGGCCCTTGGGGTTCTGAGTTGTTCTCTGTGCAGCCTCCGTAGCTAGTGATGTAGACCGAGGTCGTCATGTGAACCCAGCACTTCTCTCTTTTAACCTGTTGCTCGAAAAAACTCATTAACCTGCCTCCGTGCGACGTGATTTATGTATTCAGGGTCACAGGGGTGGACGAATGCTGTAAACCCCACGTTCAGCCCCGTCCTGTACTACACCTACGCCAGCTTGGGGTACCGCATGGTTGCCCTGGCACCTACGACAATTGCTCGCATGTATCATTCCACGGCCAATCTGATGCAGGTTAGTGCATGGCCTATTCCGGTCAGAGACTCTTATACAATTACGTATTGTAACCCTCGCGACGTCACTAGTCTGTCTCTGACGATGTGCTCGTGGGTTTGTGTTTAGGATGGCCGAATTTTCGTAGCCGGCAGCAACCCCAACCAGTTTTACGTGTTTAATGTGGAATATCCAACGGAGTTGAAGTTGGAGGCTTTCTCGCCTCCATACCTTGCGCCATCTCACGACCTGCAGCGACCGACTGTCACGGTGTCGCCATTGCAGATCACTTACAACACTCTATTCACCATAACCGTCGCATTTCCTGTTCCCCTGACATCTGAATTGGAAATCAACCTTGTGAATGCGCCTTACTCCACGCATTCTTACCAACAAGGCCAGCGCCTGGTGGGCCTCGCCGTGTCTGCATTGGTGCAAGTCGCCCAGGCTAGCGTGTACCAGGTCACTCTTACAGCGCCGTCGACGCCGACTGTGGCGCCCCCGGGGTACTACATGCTGTTCGCAGTGAACCAAGCCATCCCCAGCAAGGGTGTGTGGGTTCTGCTGTCCACCTGATGGATCATTCCAAACCCCTCAACATCCGAGGCTATCTCTCAGGATGTATTCCCTTCCACGTTGCGACCGAGCAGTGATTGCGGAGACAACTTAACTCACAGCAGGAGCAAAAGTGACGACTGCCGTGAATTACTTCAACCTCGATCTCCCAAACAGACCAAAGACAAGTGCATCTGTAACTTGTCTGTCACCGATCGCCAAGAACACCTTGCCGCGCACATCAAGGACAAACCAGCAATTCTGCGGAGTTCACGAAGTAAAGCTGATGGTTGGACGTGTACCTTGGGGCAGGGAAGGAGCAGATCTTGTGCTGCGGGTTTCTGCTAATTCCGTTCAGGAACGCCCAGAGTCCATGAGTCCCGAGACTCCCAGCTAACGCGAGGTGTGTATATTCTACATCAATGCATATTAAATCTAGATCTTGAACTTGGGAAACCAGACTTGGTCGCATGGAACATAAGCCCCAGTGAAGTTGTGCTCTAATTATCGGATATGCATCCTGCGAGTCTAGATTCCATCACTAGCTCGCAAGCATTCTCGCTAACCCAGTGATTCAACTTGTGCCACTGGCGTCTGGCCCTGCAAATTACGCATCAATCAATCATTCCGAGTGCCTCTTCTCATCGCATCATATCCAGATCCGTCCAACGCAAGGTTGGCTGGCAAATCGTGGCAGGGAATTTATGATCTCTGTTGTTGTTCATTTTGTAGGCTCTTTATTTGTTTGTCGTGAGTGTTTCAATCTCCGGAGTTTCACATTCCCGTAAGTACGTCGCGAAATGGGTTTATTTGACCAAAGAGTTGACGAAGAGATCCGAAAGTTGGGTGGCATATTAGTCATTAGATAAAATAGTCAATTTGTAGAGGGAACGAATAGGAAAAAAATTGTACTGTTTATCAAAATATATATCATGAATTGTAAGACTGGGAAATAAAAGTTGAGGTGAAAACTATTATTCTTATGTGAGGCTTCTCAACAGTACTTACTTCTGAGTGTGCTGAAGACTAAACGAATTGGAATCATTTTATAATAAACTAGGATTTATTTAGTATTTCTTCCAGTGCGTTTTATTGTCTGTTTGTTACTGAGCATGTTTAGTTAAATGTGATTCCTTTGGTACCACGATTTTTATTATCTTTGTAGAAAGAGCATTTAATTTTAATGAGCTCCATCGTTTGTGCCCTTTAAGCCGTTCTAAATAATGCCCGAACTAATCAATATGAAAGAGTAATTCACTAAGAGATGCGGTTTAAGCAATGAAAAAGTCATGTGTTACTAACATACTAACATTTCCAAATACTAAGCACCTCTTCCACTTTAAGATATTAGTATAAAACAGAGGGATTGAAGTAAGCTAGTGTGAGGACTAATAATTATAAATTTGGTAAGCTAGGACGCTCTGAAGTAAACACTGCAAGGCTTGAGTTCATCTTGAAAAAGAAAATGGGTAATGGTTTTAAGTGTCTTTTGTAAGAAGTTGGTTGAAAAGCTTCACTTATATTCACCAGAAAAGGTGAATTTGTGTTGGAAAAAGAAATTGTAAGGCATGAAAATGGAAACTCAAATTTCTAAGAATGAATAAAAAATAAAAAATTGGTTATAGAAGATATTGCTGATTTTGTAAAAGATATGCAAGAAATATAATTAATAATTATCAAAATAGCTCAAGAGGGAAAAAATAACTGTAATTATACATATTCACATGCATTCCTTATTTAAGTCTTATGCATCTATTTATTATTTTTTAAGATATTCTAGTTTTCAAGCAGCACTTGGAGTCCTAGTTGCCTCGTTTTTGTTGTATAATCTTTTGAATGACAGTTATACAAGACTTAAAGTACTAAAATTTGATAACTTTATGGCTTGAAGGTCAATGATATTTAGAATTTGGTTATTTAACTTAATTATCCTAACTAAATTCAAAAAATTCAAAAAATAAAAATAAATAACTTGTTAAACACATACACTTGAAATTTGTGACTCTTTCTTTGAGAAAATTTAATAAAAGTTGGTTTAGCTGTTACCCTTTTATATTTTGTGAAAAAAAAAATACATTCTTTGTAAGTTGTGCCATAGGTCTAATATGTTGTATTAAACCCACTATTTTTTTTTATTTACTTTTGTTCTTGAATTACAACAATTTTAAATTTTAAATCACACAACACTTTGATGTTAGATAAAATAGATATTCACTGAAATATTATAGTATTTAAAAAAATAAAAAATAAAAAATCTCAATATTATCATATTCTAAGCTTCAAATAATATTAAACTTCACAAAAAATAATTTAAAATAAAGAAGCAGTAGAAGCAAAATAATTGTCATGATATATCATTGTGAAATAAGCTAATAGAATGGAATAATAAATAAAATGAATAAACAGATACAAAAGACTCAAGATAGAGGTTGAAGAGCCTCACAATTATTTTTGCATTGCTTTAAACTACTCTATTTGCCATGTGAAAAGATTGTCATTAGAACTTCTTGTATATTGCTGCCCAAACTACTACGCAAAGATTTTCGTAATAAACAAGTTTGTTTGTTTAAATCTTTTAGAAATAATATTTTTAGCCACACAACTTGAAGAACCTTATACATTTTTTGTGTACATTTTAATGAAGTGAAAAAGAATTACAACAATTCCAAAAAAAGATACAAGACATAAAAACACAATGTTCATGTCAGTACAACTAATTAAAATTGGTCAATACCAGCATTATGATCAGTGGTTGTGTAAAGATCATGTTTGCAAAATAATTTGAAATATATGCTCATGTTCAATTTATAACTCAATATCTTAAAATGTTTTAAAGATACTCAAAATTTGAATTATGTGAACAGTTTAAATTTAGGGGAATGTTAAATAGATGCCAGATTTTACGAAATGTACCCATCTATCCTAACCATCATAAAAATAAAAATATTCTCTAAATTCATTTCTCTACTATTAGATCTGCAACCAATGAAAACCAACCACATTCATTATGATTACCATATTCTTCATCATGGTAGGTCGATTTATTAAAAGCTTGGGTCTATTTAACATTCCCCTAAATTTAACACTAAATAAAAACACTACATCTTTAACCAAAGCACTTCTATTTCTATGACTACAAATCCTAAAGTTCATTTGATTTTTTAAAAATATAATATAGATTTATTTTCGATTCCTAAGTATTCCAAAATAAATTAAAATGTTAATATCCATAACCAATTCCTCATATCTGAAAACTAATTGAAAAATCTACAGTGAACTACAATTCACAAATTTTTCGATAGGATGTGAAATCACCGCCTTCAAGAGCATCGAAAGAGTTTTATCGAAAATATTCCCAATTATGGGAGCTTGCGAAGAATAGCTGGTGATATTTTCCCGGCTTTATCTGGGAAACTCGCCACATCAGCAGGTCCAAGTTCACTGTATCTCCATCCATCATCCAGATGCAGACTAATGACACCAATCTGGCCAACGATGGGGCGTCCAACATTCACCAATTCCTGACGGTCATCCGTGCTGAAGCTCAAGTCGTGTCATGACAAAGAAAGGTCCGTGTCTCATTTCATGAAGAAGCGGGAGAATGTTTTTGCACAATTTGATGCCATTACCAGTTGTGATCGTCGCTAGTATTCTAGATTGCGGATCCTTGTGAGGAGCAACAGTGGGAAAAAGATTGTATTACTTCGTTTTGGCGAGTTTTCATTTGTACTGACAAAGGTATGGGAAGCTTGCACTTCAATTTGCCAATTAGGACCTTCGGTTGATGGCAATTATTGTGTGTTTCGTGTTCGCATTCGTGACTTGGTTTTTGGTTACTCGGGACGGATTACGGTGATAGCGGTGTTTTTGTTGTTGATCTACAAGGTTTTGAGGTTTCTTGATTCGGTAATTTGAGGTTCTGTCGCATCTATGGACATTCTAAGTGCTATCGTCATGGTTGTTAGGGAGTGAGTGTTCGTTTTTTGAAGGATTTAGTCGAAATTTCTGTGCGTAAGTGCCGGGATTATGTTTGATAAATTATTCTAGTTTCTGTTATGTGTGCTAGTAGAAGGCAGAGTATCTAGGTGAGGGAATCATGGGAGCGCTGGCAGGGCCTGAGTTTTTCACGGAGGGCGTAGTGCCGGAGCAGCGAGTAATTGACCACGGCATTCCGTTTCCGCAAGTGTTGCAACCTCACATTCAGTCCGATCTAGCGTCTCTTGTTGATGCCATTGTGAAGAATAAGACTTGGTTGGATAGCCAGCTTGAGCAGAGTGGAGCAATTTTGTTCCGTGGGTTCGATGTCTCCACAGCGGCGGATTTCGACGCAGTTGTGAAGGCTTTTGATTATCCTGAATTACCTTACGTTGGGGGCGCAGCGCCTCGGTCGAGTGTAGTCGGCCGTGTTTTCACTTCGAACGAGTCTCCACCAGACCAAAAGATTCCGTTCCACCATGAAATGGCTCAGGTATGCTTTTGGCTTGACGTTGAGCCTCTACATACTTTGTGGTGTATATTTTCCATTGTAAGGAGATATGTAAAATTGAATGGTTTATTCCAGTTCTGCAGTGATGGCCGAGCGATCGCAACTGCATGACTTACAGGCTCCATGATCGTTGGTTGGTGGTCGCTTTAATTCTATCTCACTCTGAAGTATGAGCAGCCACGTGACAATCCGCCTTAGAAGCATTTACGTTGAGTCCTTTTCTCGCATATTTGCTAATTTGAGTCTGCCTTGCTTCTAGGTCGAATATAGTGTTCAGACACAAGTGCATTAGTTCGCATGATTACATCATATTCTCCTCGTTGTGTTCACCATAGATCTTGTTGCTTTCTAAATTTTGGAACACCGGAATGCAGTCCATAGGGTCTCTAATTTTAATATTTTATGAATTTTGAAATGGTCATCTTTGCTGACCAGCGAAGACATTGTACATATGAATTGATTTTTCTTTTTAATCAGGTACCTGAGTATCCTAGAAAAGTGTTTTTCTACTGTGAAATTGAGCCAGCGGAAGGAGGAGAGACACCCATACTGCCAAGCCACTTAGTGTATCAAAGGATGGAGAAAGAATGGCCCGAGTTTGTGCAAAAGCTTCTTGAACATGGACTGCTCTACACACGCATACTTGGTGAAGGAGATGACCCTTCATCTCCAATTGGTCGCGGCTGGCAATCCACATTCCTGACGAAGGACCGCACGGAAGCTGAGAAAAGGTTGCGATTTAGTTTGTTTTTTCTATTTTTACTTTCTCGCACATATATCCGAGGATTTTAAAAATCATCTTGCCATACAACGACCATGTACCACCTTAGACAGAAGCCATGCCTTTGTATCAGTATCTTTACACATTAGTAGTCTTCATGGAAAGCGATGTAATTCTGTTGTTAAGAGCGTCATGTTTTTTGCCATAAGTTTGTCTTTCTTTATTTAAGTACATTAATATCCTCTGGTAAGTCCTTGCTATTGTGAAATTAGAATTTGAAATGGATGTAAATGTCTACTGCATCGCAACTAATATTTATGTACTGTTGAACAGGGCTGCGAGTCTCGGCATGCGATTAGAGTGGCTAGAAGATGGAGTGAAAACCGTATCAGGCCCAATTCCTGCAGTCAAAACTGACGAATTAAGGCAGCGTCGAGTATGGTTCAACAGCATGGTTGCAGCCTACACGGGGTGGGAGGACGCCCGGAATGATCCTCTGAAGGCAGTTAAATTTGGTGATGGTACACCTTTGCCAAAGGAAGCAGTCATGGCGTGCCTGGACATTCTGACAGAAGAGAGTGTGTCCATTCCATGGCGTCACGGTGACGTGCTTGTACTTGACAATATTGCAGTACAGCACGCTCGTAAGTCATTCGCGCCACCTCGTCGTGTTTTAGCATCTCTCGCCAAGTGATTACTACCTGCAAATCCCTCCCTGAACACCACCTTATTTTAAAGATAGAAAAGGAAAGAAACCAGTTGAATCTTACGCATTCAGAATTTTGCAAGCCCATCTTAGACGAGATGAGGTCTGAGATTGCTAGTTCGCTGGATGCTAACCGCATTTGTAAATAAGCCAACCTTCCTGACGAACTGATTTTTCTCCATAGTATACTATTTATAAACGATCTTCCTAGACGTTGCAGAAAAGTTGCTCAAGTGAAAATGCCAATTAGCCAGGCTAGAGACTAGTTGTTACATTCAGTTGCTACATTCAGGTTAACGTTTGGAATTTCCTAGTACTTAATTAGATATCAGAATTTGTAGAGATGCCTTTGCAAACGCTGAATACTTATGCATTGAAACATTTCGTGCATATTTGATCTTTGAATGCGTCACTTCTTATAGTGTGCAAGATGAGCATGTTCACAGTTTACTAAAGAAGTGAAGACAGGTTTGTGTACGAGGTGGGAGAGCCCGCAAACTCCAAGAAAGTAGAGTGGTCACAATTTTCTCAGATCATTGTCTGTTTTGCTCCATTTCCTGCACTTTTTTATACTTGTAAATTTTGGGGAACTATAAGCTAATTTCTAATTTTCAATGCTTTTTTTCGTGAAAATGCCACTCTGAAGCTTGGTCCACTGTTTTGATCTAGTCAAAGCATCAAGAGTACCAGACAGTATTTCAAGGCGGTCTGGTGGCAATTTTCAGTTTTTATTATTAGTATTGATAAAACTTAGGATTATGTTGATGGTATGACCATGGATTGCTAATTCAATCCCCTGAAAAAGCACACAAGGAATAAGAAGAATTTGTCAGATATTGTTGTACGTGTGAAGGAGTAAACACGAACAAGCCCGGTTAAAGTTTTGCATGAAATTCTCATCCCTTAACCTAAGACACTTAGACCGACGCCATAGTTGTGTAACGCAGACTTGGAGCGTTGTATCTGCCAATTATTATTTGAGTCACTGACGGCAACTTTGGAAGGATGGAGGTGTGTCATTATGGCAGTTTAGTTTTTCGCAGAATCAATCGTTACTGCGTTACGAGTTGTCTGACAAAGCGCATGAAAAAGACTATGACACTAACCACGAGGTCGATGCACATCATGGAGACGTATAATATGCCAATGCGTGATATCAAGATACACTTTTAAATTATACAACTCAAGTGTTATTCATTGTAAGTTGTAAACGAGAGTTTGTACAGGTTACTGAAATCCAAGCATTAAGGTGAACTAACTCATTCCCTACTTATGAAACATAGGAATTGGGCATTGAACAGGTAAGTTTAACAGCAACCGAGAGAATTGTCCGACCGTCGAGACTGTTAATGAGGTAAGATTGTATTGAAATCTTTGGCAGAAAGTTATTGTAGTGTTCTCACAGCAGACTAACATATCATTGGTTTGTAGGGTACTGCTAGAATCGGAATAGAGTTCTTAGCTGAGGATCTCTGTAAAACTTGCATTAAAATTGCCCATGACAACCTTTCGTGAGAATGTGGTGATTTCATTGTAGGATTAAGAAGCCTTAAGGTTGGTTGAATATCAGGGTTATTGATGGTCTTACGAACGCACGCAAAATGACACTGAGTTGTTATTTATCTGCGCAACAGCATCTCTTGATCACTTCTCTGAATCTCTTTAGTTACTATCTTGGTGATTAAGTGCTGAGTAGAAGATGACGAATCATTTTCATGTTCGGATTGACTGGGTGGCGTGTTAAACTACACAGGGAAAAATTGCGGCATCGGACACTATCATTATCTAGGTAACCAGACTTAGTTCGATAGCCATGATGGACTCCAGGAATTGTCCACCGCCTGCTTTCGCGAGGCCAATTTACCCAGAGGATTTCAACAACCCTCTGGAAGTTGTGCAAGACTCGACCACGACCCAAGCTTATTTTCAGGCTACCGAGAGTACCCGCCATTTCTACCCAACACGGAGCCCAAGACGGAGTCCGGGTAGGAGTCCTCACCGTTCCGAAGGACGGCTCTCGAGATCGGAAGAGGAAGTTGCACGCAGCGCAGTAGCGAAGATAATTTTCAAAGGAAGAAGCTTAGTAGAGCATCACTTGCGATCCTTTAATGAATTCATGGAATATGGTTTACCAGCCATGTTTGAGGAGGCTGGCAGTTTCGACTGCATTCCGGATCACTCCGTCCTGGTGGATTCCGGGATTGGAGTGCGGAAGTGGGCTAGAATTGTGTATGGAGAAGTTGCGGTAGGGAAGCCATACACTACTTTCACCCGAGAAGGAGTAAAGGAGGTTGTGGATCTATTGCCTCACGAAGCTCGACTTCGAAATCTGTCGTATTCGGCTCACTTGTATGTGAACATGACACTGGAGGTACGCTCACAGTTGCACATTTGCGTTTCAGAGATCGATTAGACAGTAATTTTACAACTGTGCAGAGAACGTGATAGAATAAAACGTGAACGAATCAGGCTCTGTGGGCGTGTGCCTCTGCTGCAGGTTTACGAAAACAGGGGAAACAAGAAGACGCAAAATCCGGAGGATATGATCGAAACAAAAACTGATACAATTTGCGTCGGGAAAGTCCCGGTCATGGTGAACTCAAGTTTCTGCCACCTTCACGGACTTTCTGAGAAGGATTCGGTTGCGAAAGGACACTGTTCATTCGATGATGGGGGTTTCTTCATCATCAAGGGTTCGGAGAAGGTCATAACGAATTCTTAGTCATTCGAGAATGAGTATTGCATTCGGTGTCCGTGTACACATTGTGCAGGATATATTGTTGACGAATCGTCAGTTCTGGAATTAATTTGCTAGAATACAAATTTTGTGCGCGAAAATCCTCCCCAAGTTCGTAATGTGTACTGAATTTTCGTAGGCCTTCAGGTGTTGATCGCTCAAGAGGAAAAGGCGCACCAGAGTATTTACGTGAGTTACTTGAAGAGGACAGATACTTGGATAGCGACGTACTCGCCTACATGGAGAGGCTTCAATTCGAATCAAATGAATCGAGGAAAAACTTTTGTAAAGCTTCGGATGAGAAAGAAAGCCGAGTTGTTGGTGGGAGTACCTGGCCTCACGGAACCAGTACCCCTTGTCATATTATTCAGAGCCCTCGGAACATCTTCTGACAAGGAATTCCTTGAGAGCATCTGCTACGACTCCACCGATTCTCGGTTCCATGACCTACTTCTTTCCTCAATTTGGGACGCAGACCTAATTTTGGAGGAATTTCAGTCGAGAATTTCATACCCTGCTGGTGCCTCGGCAATCAAGTCTGTGAGGGATCAGATTCTTTCGGTGAGGTTTCTTGGTACGAAGCTACGAAATTCTAGGCATGTGCCTTCCGTCGAGGCTGGGAAAACTATCATCGGGCAGCTTTTCGTACATACGGAAGGAGGATACACGAGGAAGGCAATGCTGCTTGGATACATGGTGAATCAGCTGTGCTCAACATTCTTGGGGAGACGACTGGAAGATGACAAGGACCACTTCAAAAATAAGAGGCTTGATCTCACGGGACAATTGCTGAGCCACCAGTTTCGTAAGGCAATGGCACACTTGGAGCGCGACGTGAAGAGACGACTCCATCCTTACCTGGTGAAGGGCAGGGACTTGGCTCCTCTGAAAACATACGTGACGGAGGCAATCGTGACAAAGCAGATGCAGAGCGCGTTCACCTTGGGCAACTGGAACACCAACGAGGGGTTGAAGAGCTCGGGTGTAGTTGCAGTTCTGAAAAGGATGAACCCCATGGCCACTCTATCCCATCTGCGACAATTTCGACTGAATCTGCCGCCGCCAATGAAACCAACCGACCCCGCAAGACACCCGTAAGTAGAAATCAATACTCTTGCCATGGCGATTGACACATGTGGCTACAAGTGGTGATCTATATCGATTGGGCTTTTCCGATATGTTTCCTGCATCGGTGCACTCTTCGGCTTTGCTACTGACGATTGAAATGGGGATGATGTGTGGGGGATGATGTGAAGAAACTACTCTTACTGGGGCAGGATCTGTCCGACCCAGACCAGCGATGGAGCGGAGTGTGGCCTTATCAAAAGCTTGGCCCTAACCTGTGTGGTTAGCTCAGATACGCCAGAGGAACCGGTGTTGCATGTTTTGAGTGATTGTGGAATGCACTCTCTGGAAGAAATTACTCCTCTTACAATTTCAATGGCAGAGAAGATATTTGTGAATGGCCGCTGGGTTGGAATCTTCTACGACTACAATGCAACTCTCGCTATTGTTGCTACTCTGAGGCAGCTACGCCGCGAACAGCTTCTTCATGGAGAGGTCAATTGCTTGCTCTTTGCTCAATGTTGACTAAAAGAACGTCATTGCAGAAAAAGTTGAGCAAACTAGCCTTGATTTCATTTATTGATCCTAAATAGACATACTTTCAAATAACCTTGGGAAGATCTCTGATTAAGATGGATGTTTTACACATTGCTTTATAATTCTTAAAACCTAAAAATAAAGCAAAAAGAAGGCTACTAAGATGAATGTATTCCCTTCGATTGCTAGTGTACAGATTGAAGTAGCACGAGACCCCAAAACCAAAGCGGTGCATATTCACACAGATGCAGGCAGATTGCTTCGGCCACTTCTGATTGTCAAAGAACAAAAGTTGGCCATGTCGAAGCAGCATTTGAAAACGCTTCGAGCTATGTCCAAACAAGAGAGTGCTGAGGCTTGCTGGAATTTCCTTTTGGAACAACAGGTGGTGGAACTCTTGGGCACGGAGGAGGAAGAGGGAGCACTAATTGCTTTGAACCGAGATGATCTGGAACGAGCTCGGAAAGACCCGGATGCTCCTCTGTACACCCACTCAGAAATCGATGTCTCCTACATCTTTGGGTTGGGCGCCTCAGTGATTCCGTTTCTGGATCACAACCAAGCATCTCGTAATCTGTATCAAGCGGAGAAGCATTGCAAGCAGGCTATGGGGTTCTACACCTCCAACTTATCGGGCAGGTCGGACTGTTCTGGACACCAGCTCTTCTACCCCCAGAAGCCCCTCGTCACAACGCGCACATGGGACTATCTCAAGAAGCCAGAGATCACAAATGGCCAGGTTGCAATTGTGAGCATTCAGTGCTGTGGCTACAACCAAGAGGACTCCATCATCATGAACCGAGCTTCCATTGATCGAGGCTTGTTTCGGTGAGTGAATTTCCTGAGGAGATGTCATACATCGAGGTGGGTTAGAGAATCCGCAACGGTGACCATCATACTCACTGGCGTTTCTGGCGCTCCTGTGTGCAGATCGATGCATTTCAAAACTTACCGAGGAGAGGAGAGGCACAACGTCATAGAGCATTTTGCCAAGCCGAGTATTTCCATTGCAAAAAGATCCAGGAATGCATCTCTAAATAAAATTGATGAGGATGGCTTTCCTCACCTCGGAGACTACCTGGAGAAAGGAGACATCATCATTGGAAAATTGACCGCTGAAATGGGAAATCCTAAGCTTGCAGACTCAAGCCAGCGGTTGAGAGCACACGAAAATGGTCGAGTGGATCAGGTGCTTCTATCCAGCGAAGAGGATGGACATCGCATTGCCAAAGTACGACTGAGATGCTCCCGACGACCTCAAGCCGGCGACAAATTCTCAAGCATGCATGGACAAAAGGGCGTTATCGGAGCTGTTTTGAACCAAGAGGATCTTCCCTTCACACGGCAAGGAGTTGTGCCGGACATCATCATTAATCCTCATGCGCTTCCCAACCGACAGACAGTCGGACAGCTCCTGGAAAGCCTATTAGGCAAATTGATGGCAGTTCGAGGCACCCAACAATCTGTAGCCCCTTTCCAGAAACAATCCGCAACTCGCAAATTCATGGATCAGCTCCACCAGTAAGTCCTGATTTCAACCCACCTCTCTTGTCGCGAATCCACCCAAGTGCTTAGAGCCCAGATTTGTCGGTGACACACTCTGATCCACGTCCGAATACCTCTCTCCCTCTCTCTGCTCAGGTCTGAATACCAGAGAGGAGGCAGCGAGTCCATGACCAACGGCACCACGGGGATGAGACTCAACTCTCTCATCAGCATAGGAGCCACATTCTACCAGCGCCTGGACCACATGGTCGAAGACAAGATCAAGTACCGGGGGAGTGGCGGTCCCGTGGACGCCCTCACGCGGCAACCAGTCAAGAACCGGAAGAACATGGGGGGCGTCAAGTTCGGCGAAATGGAGCGGGATTGCATGATCGGCCACGGCGCTTCCGTCACTCTCCGGGAACGCTGCTTCCTCTTGAGCGACCCCTACGCAATGTTGGTGTGCTCGTCTTGCCGGCGCCCTTCCGGTCACACCGACCCATCTCGCCGACGTTTCTGCAAGTTTTGTTGCACCGGGAAACACGTCGTCCAGATCCAAATCCCTTACTCCTGTAAATTGCTGTGGCAGGAGCTTCTCAGCATGGGCATCACTCTCTTCCTAGAAACGAAACTCTCTTGAGCTGAGCGCGCGCACACACACACACACACACACTATACACAAATCAAGTCTGCGATGCCACAAGCTGGAAATCATGTTCTGGTAAAGTCAAAGGGCATTAGACTCGCAGTTATTTAGTAACCTACTGTAGCAGTTGCGAAACCGCTGAAAGGTTTGCAGCTTCAGATGCCGCCGAATCACTGGGAAGCACCGGATGAGTAATTGCTGTGAGGGTTCCCAGATGTGTGGGAACTACGTGATGTATCCGTGAGGAAAAGTTGCACCACCTTCGAAGTTCTACAATCCCAAGAGAAAGGTTCTGGTTCCACAGCAAGCCATGTACTGTGCTGTACACACACCTCTCAAAATTGCACTTGCTGGGATAGATCACCTTCACCCACGACGTAACAGCTACACTTTTAGAGAGCTGAAAAGGTGGTCAGAAGCATGGAATCTTCGACCAGCAATTCCCATATTCGTCTGGTAAGTGGGGTTCTGTTTTGCTGCATTGGGATGCTGCGGCAGCTGTGACTTGGCACCCCACACTTCCAAGCGTACGGATTGGAGGATGCGACACGACTGTGGTTCTGTGGTTCATGTCATTTTGGACACTTTCAAGGCTGGTTTTAGTGGGTTTTGTGCCGAGTGCTTTGTGGACAAATCGTGCGTGAGATGACAAATTTTGTTTAGGTTTATGAGTGAGTTTAGAATTGGATTCCTTCGCATGAAGTAAAGAATATAAATAAACAAGTAAATGTCAGATGTAAACAATACAAATAAATAAACAAAGACATATTTATTAATATGTATCTTTTTTTTTTCTTTTTTTTTTAATCAATTTTAATCTTTTCTTCTTATTAGAATGACAATGACAAGTCAACAAATGTTTTTGAAACAAATTTTGTATTGCTATCTAAAAATATATACAGTTAGACCTACTTACTTTCTTGACAAAGCAAAGATGTTTGTTTTTGTTAAGACCCATTGGGCAAAATTAAGCATGGCTGAGATTTGATAGCTAGGATTTAAAATTGATAATGTTTGTAATGTTAAGTAGCATTCTTTTGGTTTAATGTGTCACATTTTGATAATCTGAAGTCATAATAAATCAATTTGATAATACTAAACTTTTCATAAATAATAGAGGTATCATACATAATAAAAATATAAGTTACACCAACTATATTTTAATATAATAATTTATATTTTAAAGATTGAGGCTACAAACACATCTCAGGTTGCTATATGCTCACCCATTATGTCTATATACAACCAAGATTTGTCATTGGCTCATCCAAATCCCCTTTTTCCTTCTTATGTAGTGGGTCCCGATCTCCTCCTTCCTTCTATTACCCTTGCATGGACCTAGGCACCCCTTCCTCTCATCCTTACGTCAAAGCTATTTTTTTTCTTCCTTAGTCCATGTTTTAGTTCTCCTCCCTCTCTTCCCAAGACTAATGCGGGCCCAAGTTTCTTTGCCCTCTCTTCTTTTGTCACCATAGTCATATCTACAACTTGCATCCAAACTCTAATCTTTCAAAAACATTCCTCTTCATTGGTTTATGTTTGATAATATGTCAATAAATTAATTAATTTGAAGATCACTAATACACACACAAAAATTTGCAAATAATATGTACTAAATAACTTTGACAAGCAATCAAACATAAAGTTATTTTTTTTGTGAAGATTTGTAGAATATCCCATATTATATGTATCAAAAGCTATCATTTAATCAGCTCTTAGTTAAGATATTAAAAGTACCCTCCCCTTGGTTTTTGACACATTTCATTAATAATGAATGATATCCATCCTACTTTCATAATATATTTAGTTTTCATAATGTGGTATGAGAGTTGGATGAAAAGTTCTATAGATGAATATCATTAGACAAAATTTGGATAAAATTAGATATTTTCTATGGATGAAACTTAGATGATTTTCTTGTTGCTAGAGCTCTGCCACTATAGGAGCATTGCTAAAGTTAAGGAGTTGTTGGAGCTGCTAAAGCCTCGTTGGAGCAATTAGAGATGGAATTTAATTTTGTTGATGCTGATTTTTATTTTATTAAATTCCATTTGTTGATGGTGGTAAAAACAAGCTTTCTTTTGCTCCAATTTAGCTTAATACTTCTACTCTCCAAATATTGTATTTTGTAGACCATTTGTAAATTGTTTCCTTATAGTTATTTGTTGCTATTGCATTAATTATATTTTACAATGGCATCTTCAATGGATCATTGTATTGATTGATTAGATGAAGAAAACTATGGCACATGGGCATTTGTCATGAAACACTTGATGCACATTTGCATGCTCTATATGCATGTAGATGGGACATTAAAATATCCTACAAATATTGATGAAAAATTAAAATGAGAATCAAGCAAAGCACAAGCACAAGCATTGATTGCATTCAATGATAAGTCTTCTCAATTAACTTATATATGCAAATATAATACTACAAAGGAGATGTGGGACATATTGGCTAAGATCCACAAGTCCTTAAGAGTTATTATTGAGATATTTTTAATGAAGAAATTGTATAATCTTAGATGTGTGGATGAAAAATCAATGGAGATTTTTCTTGGAAATTTTTTTGAACTTAGAGATCAATATATTGAAGCCGGTAGAAAAATAAATAAACAAAGCATGGCATTTCTTATACTTATTGCATCACCAAAATCTTAGGATCCACTTATTTAGTCGATTGTATTGAAGAAAAGAGAAGAAATCATGGAAAAAATAGTGCAATCTATTTTCTTTGAGGAGGAGATGCAAAGAAAGGAGAAGATTAGTTCTCCATTTTTTTCTTTAGCAATGCATGCAAGAAGAAAAAAAGTCTTAAAGAAGCGCCTTTCACAACAAAAATAGAAGCTTAAAATTGATAAGTCTAAAAGTATTTTTTGGGCTTATGAACAAAAATGGCATTAACAAGGTGATGCATAATGTCCTAAAACAAACAACAATGGTGTAGTAAATGCTAGGATTATTGTTTTTCTTTTAGCTTGAAAGACATCATTTAACTCAAAAATAATGATTGCATCATTGTTTCAATTAGGGCATTTTATATGCATTAGTATTGCAACAAATATACATATCTAAGGAGATAAGAATAAGCTTCTCAATTTTAATGAAAATACAACTATCCAACTTCAAGACTATGATGGTGGCATTAGCAAATCATGAGGCTTAGATGAGATGCATCTCACAATTTTAGACCCTATAAGAAAATGCATTCTTGTGGTTGTGAAGGATGTCCACTAGGTTCTTGGAGCATGTGATATTTTATTATCAGCTACAACTTTATACAAGAAAGGTTGCAAATTTAACTTGGATGTTAATGGAATTAATTGAATTCTATCTTTAGGTGACTTACTTACATGAGGTATTTTAATTAGTAAAGCTTATCTTATGCCTTGTGAAATAGAAGAAGTTTCTACAATTTCTAGCTCATCTATTTCAGATTGTAATCTTATTGGATGACATTATACATTAGTACATATTTCAATGTATACAATATGAGAGTCAGAGTGGATAAATTGTGTTAATCAACTAAAGATCAATGGAGAGAAGAATAAAATACCTATATGTGAATCATGCATTGTTAGCAAGACTCATAAGCAATCTTTTTCACAAAAACATAAGTATGCTAATGGTATCTTAGATATAATAGTATTTGGCCTTGATTATTTTGATATTACTAGTTTTGGTGGTACCAAATGGTTAGTTATGTGGATTGATAAATATTAAATTATTAAATAATAAACTTGATTCTCATTTCAAAGTTGAAGGCATTCAATATATTATTACTCTTGCATATATACATGAAATTTTTGACATGGAAAAACATATAATGTGGACTATTTTTGAAGGAGTATAAATACTTATAGATGATGCCAAGCTAGATTGTTAGTATTGGATTTTTACAACAAAATTAGTGACTTAGTCTCATAATTTCCTTCCACTTGCAAGCCTCAGTGATAAGATACCATACAAAGTTTTTTACTATGAAAAATCTTCTCTTCAAAATGCTCATTTCTTTGGTTTTCCTACTTGGTATCACTTATTAAAGAAAAAATGTCAAAAGCTTAATGCAAAGATAAGAAAGGGTATTTTTGTTAGATATTCAAAAATAACAAAAGAATATGAAATTTTTCTACTCAAAGTTAAGACAAATTTTTTTAGTTAAGATGTGTTTTTTCTTGATAACAAGGATGAGTTATTTGATGAGCCTTTAACTCATGAAGAAAAAATAGAGAAGATATAGATCATAGAAATAATCTTGATATGCTAAATTTTCAACATCCAAATGAATTAGAAATATCTCAACTTCAAGCCTCAAGATTACATATACATGATGGATTGGATGGAGAAATGATTTAAGAGGAAGCAAATCCTTTATCAAAAAAAGTAGTAGAATTCCATCAATGAGAAGTGGAAGCAATCACTCAAGCTCTACCACCAAGATATCATTATGTAGGTGGCATTGATTTGATAAATATTATAAATAATAATAAGATGTATTGCACATCTTGAAAAAAAGACAACAATTTTATTTAAGGAGATTATGACTTTCTAATTGAAATAGTAGATTTGATTCATGTTGATGAATATGAAAAATCAAAGGTTGTTGAACAGGAAATGAATTCACTTTTTTGCAAAGTGTGAAGTCATGCCATGAAGGAAGAACTCTATTCTTTAAAATATCATAGTATATGGAAATTTAAAAGCACAATTGGTTACAAAAGATTTTACTCACGTGAAGGATCTTGATTACTAAGAAAATTTTGCACCAATTCTTTACCTTGCAACAATTCATATATTTGTTGCAATTTCTGCTACTCTTAATTGAAATATTTTATAATTTAATGTTATTTCAGCTTATTTAAATAGTAATTTTTTTTAAAAAAATATTTATATGAAGATTCTAAAAGGTTTGGAACTTCCATTGGAATACAAAGGTAAGGTGTTGCAATTATTAAAGACTTTATATGATTTAAAGTAATCTAGACATAGAATAAAAGTTTGAATAAATCTTTATTGAATCTTCATTAAGAATGCTCAAAATTAGACACAATATATATTAAGGGACTAATTCTTGTATTAATTATTTATGTTGATGACATACTTATTGGTAAAAAGAACTTTGAGATCTTTGTAAAATATAATGATGAATTACAAGAGTGCTATAAAAAAAAGACCTTGGTGAACCTAATGATTTTCTTTGCATTGATTTTTTGAGAGATAAGAAAAATGGTACTATTAGTTTGAGCCAAACTAAGTACATTTGTTGAAAGTTAGAAGAATTTGGGATGAAAGATGCAAAGGCAATTGCTACACCAATAGTATGAAGTCATATTATTAAGCATGAAATAATGATCTTTTAGATATAGAAGGTATAAAGCTTATCAAAAAGCTTTAGATTCATTATTATACCTTATAAATGGTATAAGATATGACATTGTATTTTCTTATCAATACTTTGTTTAATATACGGCACATCCTAATATTTCACATTGGCAAAGAATCAAACAAAGATTTTATTATTTCCAAAGAATTAAATATTTGATATTGTAGTGTAGAGGAAAGAAAGAAAATTTGGAACTTATAGGCTATGGTCATGCAAATGGAACAGGTTGTGTGGAAATGCACCATTTAGTAGGAAGTTATGCATTATATTAGATGAAGTAATTATCACTTGGTCAAGCAAGAAACAATCTTTAATTTCTATTTTGTTAGTAGAGGTAGAGTATGCATCTTTGGTTGCTACAACAAGGGAGACTTTGTGGCTTCATAAATTATTTAGGAATTATGACATTC